CTGAAGCCCTGGGGAGTAGTCAGTTTCCTGCTGGGCTGCTCAGCACAAAATCAGTCATTTGACTCTACCTGGCAGGTCAGCAGTTGCACCTACCAGCTGCTCAGAAGGAGAAAGTGAGACGTTGTGTTCCCCTAAAGGTTTGCAGCCTTGGATATTCTAGGGAGCAGGTCTACTCTGTTTTATGTAGTCTCTGTGGGTCAGAATTGATTTGATGCCAGTTCTGTTGTTGTTGTTGTCATTAATTCATCCCAGAAAACATTGCCTTATTCACGTGATGAGATGTTTACATATAGTGTTTTCCAAGGTTGTGTATGTTTAGATCTCATATTTCAGTTGCATGCTGAATGCTTTCCTTTGAGGTTTTATATTATTGGAGATAAAGGTATTAGAAGACTAACCTGGTGTGATCACCCTTACAGCAATAATCCAGTTTGCATATGCTACAGAGATAAAGAATTTCCTAACAATGTTAGAGTCCATTCCTCAATTGTTTTGGGATATATGGAATTCTAAAACCCACTGGCAAATAGTTTAGTTGTTTTTCTTTTTTTTCTCACAAGACTATTATTTTAGACTTATTTAATATGTCTTAATCGAGTATATATACTGTTTAGACTCTGTCTAGGCTCAATGCCAAGTAAGGTGGGGAGCTAATTGATATAATAAATAGCACCCAAGTGACATGGACAATTGACTTGCTGACTTTTAATAACACAACAACTTTGGCAGAAGGGAGAATATAGATCACTGCATGGGAGAAATTAGAGGATGACAAAGAGGATGTCTAAACAGGATGATTGCAGTGTACCACATACCTGTTACATGAAAACTGACCTATCGTCCTTGATACCTTTTAGGATTAGATTCTATGGTGATGTGTCCAGACATTTACACTTGAGAATATATTATAGATTCTCAATGTGTATTTAAATAATATCTGTGTTTAAATAATTTGAAATGTTTTTTATAATATCTTTTTAAAAGAATTGTTACTTTCTATATTCCATGAATTTGTTGTTTGCTTGGGGATTCAAGTTCATAATGTATAATCTCTATTATTGTATTGAGTATGCATTACTCATCCATACTTAATTTTTCCCTATTTTAAAATGTTCACTTTCTGTGAATATTTTGCTTTACCTATCTACTATGTATCTAAGCTCTTAAAAATATAATAAATTAGCTAAGGGTAGTCAGCAAACTTTAAAACTCTACTCTCATGAGAACAAAAAGAGTTGATTCACTACCAAACTAAATTGCGTTCATTATATGAAAATATGAATTTTAAATTGATGCTGAAAGTAAATTGGAATAGCATTAAGGATAAATGCTTTCTATTTGTTGAACAAAAAAATGTTCAATGACGTTAAAAATTAAAAGAGCAAGCTTTTCAATCATTATCGTTATGTCCCCAGACATGGTTATTCCTCTCTGCATTTGACTTATATTTGCAAGTGGTAGTTTCCACATAAAATGTTAATTGAGCCTTAACTATTTACATCTCATCCTCAAACACCAGTGGCTCCTTGAGTTAGTTAATTGTGCCAACGTGGCCGATAATCACATGTGCGGCTAATTGAAAGGCGGAGGGATAAATGGGTGGTGAGCCTCACCTTTCTAGTTCTCAGTTCTCTTGCTTTGTGATGGTCGCACCAGGGTGCAGCTGCCTTAGCAGTTGCCTGATTCAGCTTGAAAGATTGACTTCCTACAAGATATCCCCAAGGAGAAGCCACATGGGCCTATCCCAATGCAGCCCTGGGTGCTGGAGCTACCGTGTGGAGACCCCTGCTAGTGCTGAGATGCTTATTCGTTCACTGACTCAGCTTTCCTCCTGCA